TCCTTGTAGGTCTCCCTCTTTCTCAATGACCCTCTGCTTTACCAAACACACAGAACAAACAAAGTGAGCCCCGCACAAAAACTAGTCAAGTGTGGGCTCTGTCGGTGTGGCAGACACAAGTGTGACAGGACATAGACCAAGGGGAAAAGATAGGATGGTGAGAACTTCTTGAGGATAGTTGAAGCCCATTGTTTTGAATTTTCCTTTTACCAGTACGGGTTGGATTTCATTCTTAATAATTGAGTTTGTTAAAACTACTAAATTCTCAACATATCTAAGCACAAACAGTATTCTTATTCAAATAAAATATAGTGATTGTTACTGTGACCTTGGGTGTCTACCACAGACAACTCTTATTATAATTTGTTTGCATATAGTATCTTTACAATGATCTTGATTTTTCAAATGCATAAGCCAGGTCATTTGGAGGGTGTTTAAAGTTAAGTAGTTGAGCTGTGATATAAACCCAAGTAACTTGGCAACAGAGCCTACCTAGTTAACTTCCACACCTTGCTGCCTGACATTTGGCTGACTGGAGCACATTTAAAATAATCACCTGTGTCTTTTGAATCCATGACTTCACCAGTTATCGAATTGTTGAATAAGTAAAAATATGTACTTGATCAGTTGAAACATTATAGAAATATTGAATAAATAAAAATATGAACTTGAAACATGTCCGAGAGGAATTACTGAGAGGTGAATGACAGGTAATCATGATGGTGGGGCAGGAAGAAAGGAAAAAAAGAAAAAGGTAAGAAGAAAGTAGAAATTGTATATATATATAGGTATAAATATAGGTATGTTTATATAAAGGTAGGTATATTTGACCATATATGTGTGTGTGCAAGTCAAACAAGGAAGCCAGTGGACTTTGGGCCTCTACTCAAATCTTACCGCTGTACAAGAACAGTGTGTTCTAATAATTTAGCACTGTATGGTACTCCCCTTTCTGACAGGATCACTGAAGACAAAATGGTGATAAAGAAATGTGGGGAAGAAAGGGGATGATGCCTGGCTATTAAAGATACAGCACCTGGGGTTCAAGTCTTAAAGGCTTGAAGTTAAACAAGAGGCCATCTAGCAGGGAAGCCATAAAGCCCACATCGAGGAAGCACACCAGCCTGTGTGATCACGAGGTGTCGACGGGAATAGCTATCAGAAGTTCAAAAAACAAGCAATCAAATTGACATGAAGGAGTGTGGACTAAATGGAGACCCACGACCCACCTGTAAGATAGTTGGACAGTCCCTCACAGAAGGGATATAAAGTCCTGGGGGTAGTATAGCACCGATTAAACACATAATAATCCTCTAGCTCTGTAATATTTTCTCCCTTCACTATTATGGTTCTTGTTTTACCTCATTAATCTTCTGAGACATGAATATGTTCATTTGTACAAGATAACCCTTCAGAAACAGTAATGGAAGTAATGATTCCCTGAGGGTATGGGAAGAGAGGGGGCAAAAGGGGGAAGGGGGAGCTGATAGGAATGATGAATGTATAACCCCATTCGAGGAAATGAACAACAGAATTGTAGGTGAATGGATATATTAAATGGTGTAAGATAATGAAAATAATAACAATATAACATAATAACAAGGGTTCCTGGTGAGGGTGTGGGGGAGGGAGGGCCTAAAGGGGAGTTAATATCAAGGGATTCAAGAAGAAAGAAAGCTCAAAAAATAATAAATCATTTTATTGGGGCTCTTACAGCTCTTATAAACAATCCATGCATCAATTGCATCAAGCACATTTGTATATATGTTGCCATCATCTTTTTCAAAAGTTTTTCTTTCTACTTGAGCCCTTGGTATCAGCTCCTCTTTTGTCCCTCCCTCTCCCACCCTCCAACCCTCCTGAACCCTTGATAAATTATAAATTATTTTCATATCTTACACTGTCCACTGTCACCCTTCACCCATGTTTCTGTTGTTTGTCCTCCTGGGGGCGGGGGGTTGTTATATATTGATCATTGCAATAGGTTCCCCCTTTCTGTCCCTGAAGGAAAACCTTTTGAAACTGCTGTTGGCAGCAACTGTACAATTATGCTTGATCTAATTGAATTATGAATAGTTAAAACATCTGTAAGAGCTCCAAATGAAATGATTAATTCAAAAAAAGGGAAAAGAATGTTTTGAAATTAATTGGGGTAGCAATTTTACAATGTTGCTTGATGATATTAAACTGTGGGATGATATATCTATTTTAGAACCCCATAAAATTGCTTTATGAAAAAACATGAGAAAATATGAAAAGCAGTAGTCTTTTTTAATATAATTGCTAGTAACTAGCAGAAACTGAAAGCTGATTCAACAACATAAATATTATTTCTGTTAATAGAAATTACTTCATTATTGCGTATATAAACCTTCTAATGGCCATTGTTGTAATGGCAAATCATTGAAAGCATTTTTAGTGGTTCTTAATGTCAAATCATAACTCAGAAATGGCACCGGCCTGTGTGATCATGAGGTGTCAATGGAATCAGGTACCAGGCATCAAAGAACAAGAAATCATATCATTGTGGATGAGGGGGAGTGCGGATTGGAGATCCAAAGCCCATCTGTAGGCAACTGGTCATCCCCTTACAGAAGGGTTGCAGAGAGGATATGAGCCAGTCAGGGTGCAGTGTAGCAATGATGAAACATACAACTTTCTTCTAGTTCTTTAATGCTTCCACTCCACCACTATCATGATCCCAATTCTACCGTACAAATCCGGGTAAACCAGAGGATGTACACTGGTACAGATAAGAACTGGAAACACAGGGAATCCAGGACAGATAAACCCCTCAGGACCAATAATGAGCGTAGCGATACCAGAAGGGAAAGGGTAAACCAGAGGATGTACACTGGTACAGATAAGAACTGGAAACACAGGGAATCCAGGACAGATAAACCCCTCAGGACCAATAATGAGTGTAGCGATACCAGAAGGGAAAGGGGAAGATGGGGTAGAAAGGGGGAACCAATCACAAGGATCTATATATAACCCCGTCCCTGGGGGATGGACAACAGAAAAGTGGTGAAGAGAGACCTTAGACATTGTAAGACATGACAAAATATTACTTTATAAATTCTCAGAGGCTCTTAAGGGAGGGGAGTGGGGAAGGAAGGGGAAAATATGAGGAGCTGATAACAAGGATTCAGTAGAAAGAAAATGTTTTGAGAATAATGATGGCAACAAATGTACAAATGTGCTTGACACAATGGATGGATGGATGGATGGATTGTGATCAGAGTTGTAGGAGCCCCCAATAAAATTAGGTTTTAAAAAAAGAAATGGGCAGCCTGGTCTGATGTAACCAGACAAGAACAGGAAGGCTAGCAGGACAAGGTTACAAGAATGGCCCAGGAGAATCAATGGCAGCTGGTGACAACTGCATTTAAAAGAATCATAATTTCCAAAAATCATCAAATGTTCTATAAGGCATTATTTCCCCAATATGTGTGAACAAACTGAGCAAGCCCTGCTGTTAAATTGAGCAGCTCCACTCTTCAGCTCCACTCTGCTGATAATCCTGTTGGCTGCTTGGAGAAAGGAGAGGAATTGACCCTCTCCAATCTTCACCTCTTCCGAATGCTTCTTGTATCCATAATCTCTTCATGGGCATTCCTCTGCATAACCCTCCCCCACGCCCTGGTCTTCAGAGCTCAGGCTGCAATATTTTTTTGTTGTTTCCCATCTGGGGCAGCTGTTCCAGCCTCTCTCCTTCTGTCAGTCAACACACTTGGGCTGATCACGTACTGTGTGCTATGCTGTGTGGTGGGCACTGGGTTAAAGGGAGGTGCCCCACAGTGCTCATAGTCCAGACCTGTGAGTGAAGGGGAAGCCCTACTGAGTATCTTATATGAATGGAAAATAGAGACAAGCATGAAATGGAGTGTTGTTAGTGGTGCAGTAGATGTAGATTGATGGGACATCTGTGTAGTCTTGAAGACTAGTAAATGGAAGGATCTACAGGAGCTGAGAGAGACAAGGATATTCCTCTAGAGCTCATGTGTGTGCACATATAGGGGGGACAGGGTGAAGAGAGAGACAGAGAGATATTACATCTATCTATCGACACCCTTAATTTAGACCCTTTGGCTTCAAACCACCACGTGTCTTTCAGTTTGTCCTACTATACTGCGGTGACTTGTGTGCTAATACATTGCTGGAAGCCATGTCACTGGTATTTCAAATACCAGCAGCATCCCTCAGAGTGAACAGGCTTCCGCAGAAAATTCAGACTAAAAAGAAGGAATAAGCTGTCTACTTCTGAGGAATTAGCCACTGAGAACCTTCTGAATCACAGAGCTGGGATGGCAAGACGTTG